TACGTTTTTTTTCATGTTTTGTCTCACTTGAAACACTGGTATTAGCTCAGTACTTTTATTTCTTTCTCGAAAAATTAATATATAACTACTGTATTTACATTATTTTCAACCCTTGTTCTCCCTCAATTCCTCCTGTCTCCTCCTCTCCCTCTAAAACTCATGATCCCTTCTGGAATCATTGTATTTTTTTTTGGGGGGGGTGATAAAAAAATGGACATTTCTCCTTTTATTTATGGAATCTGGTGCCTGTGGTGTGACACCTTGCATAGCCTTGGTGCAGTGGGAAGGGGTTTGGACCTGCCTAGGTTCAGTGTGCTGGGCTCTGCTGACTCCCCATAGGAGACCTCAATTTGGGGGATGTGGGGATGAGGGGTGGCTTGGGAAAGAGGGCTGGGGAGTAGAAGGGAGGAGGGGGGGTCTGTGGATAGCATGAGGACTGAGTAGAAAATTTCTTAATAAAGAAAAATAAATAAAATAAAACTGGAATCATTGTTGAATATGCATGTGTGCGTGAGAGTGTGTGTGTGTGTGTGTGTGTGTGTGTGTGTGTGTGTGTGTGTGTGTATGTGTGTGTGCGTGTGTGTGTTAAGGGCTAACCACTTGGGATTGGATAACCAGGAGACTGTCTCTAGACAAGATTGATTTTCCCTCTCTCAGCAGCCATTAATATCATATAACTCTTCTTCTACATGTGAGGACTTCTGAGATTTCCCTCATCTATGTTGGAATATCAACTGGTGCTCTCACTGTGCTGCTCTTATTTAGGTAATCACATTTTTGAGATTGTATCGTTGCAGCTCACCTGTCATATAGAGAAGATCCCACCTTTCAATAGATATTCTGGGTTGATGCTATTACAATCTTTCTAGCTCCTTTTTTTCCCAGTGTTCTCTGAGCCTTAGGTACAGAAGCTGGGCACCAATGATTAGTTGTTTACATTGTAACCAGTCATGGCTTTCTGTAATGGACTCTTTCTACTTAATAAAGTAGCTTCTTTGTTAATGGGTGAGAGCTGCATTTAGCTATGGATATAAATTCAGAATAGTTAGGAATTATGCTTGTTTAGGAATATGCAATAGTAGGCTCTCCTCTAGGGTACATGACCTCAGAGCCACAGATAGCTGGGGATATAGACAAACATAAATGGCCTTCAATTGAACAGGCAGAGGTGTCCAACTGGACACCTGTTGGTTACCTGTGCCCTGTGCCCACCTCCAAAATGTAAGTGGCATTATTGCACCTTTGGGAAAATCTTGCCATGCTAGTCATTGTTGTGGTACACAGGCTTTAAGGCTGGGTAGGATTATTGATGTTTTTTCCCCTTGACAGCTTGTAAAGCACCTTCAGATACGATGAGAACCAGTTCTCAGAAAGGAAACTTCCGGGTCAGTTCATGCTCTAATCATCCAAGTCCTGTCCCTGAAGAGTGTGGTGTCTTCAGCAATAAGGACTTATCATCAATGGGGGAAATCAAGGGCAAGGGTAACAGCCAGCACTGTTTTATGAGTCTCGTAGACTCCTGTTTCTAAAGCTCCTTCCAAATGTTTTTTGTTTTCTTTTATTTTGTTTTGTTTTTCCTGCAGTGTTGGGGAATTGAAGCCAAGACTGTGGATGCTAGGCAGACAGCCTACCAAAAAGATACATCCCCAAATCAGCTTGCTACATAATTTCCTAAACCAATAGTCTTAGGCTGCACTGTATTTAAGCCACTCAAACTCAAAGCTTGTGTATAGACAAATCTGACCTCAAAACTGGATTGATCCATTTGCCTCTTCCTCCAGAGTACTGGGATTGCAGATGTATACCACCATGTCTGCCCAACTTCTTATAATTTCAATTCAACTGGAAATGTCTCATTGTTTCTTCTGCTATGTGATAACAACAAATTATTTTCTTTATAAAATTGTGGATGGTTTTTACACTGGGATTACAAAACTCCTGTTTTCCATTTATAAAGGAAGTATGTATTCACTCATATAAAGTAAGTCCATGTTCTATATTTTATTATCTTCTCAAAAGTCACCCCTGAATGAGGACACTTGCAAATCCTACTTGGAAAAGTATTAACTATTATCTTACTAATACTGTATTTTGATCATTCACATACATGGCTTTAAGGGAAACCAATTACAAAAGCACCAAGGGGTCACTGCCCTGCTAATGTATACCCATTGTTTTCAAGGCCACCTGCACATTTTCATATACTAACACAGCGTTGAATTCATCTGCTTGTATTACAAAATCCCTGTAGATTTAAAACATTCCTGTCCTAGAAAAATTAAAAGAAAATGATGTTTAACACTAAGCTTTTCAGGGGCTCATCCAATGACAAATACTAAGCACGTATGTGGTGGTAGGTAATTACTGAGAAGGAAATGTGGTGAGCCAAAGTAATGTAGATGACTTTTGCTAAGGAGGTAATAAGAGATTATAGTATATGAACCCTTCAGAAGAAAATTAAGTGATCAAGGTCAATATGCAAGAAATACTGTTGTAATGTAAAATACAAATGAGATATTAAGGAAAGAACATAGGTGAGGGGTGTGAGCACGATGCTTTCTGAGAGTACATTTTGGTAGAAATGAGCTAGTAGAGGCCTCCAATGAAATCTCATACTTTTTAGTATTTCTATCTTCAGTAGAACATAAAGTAGCTTTCCTACTTTGCTATTTTACTTTTTATTCTGTTTTTTTTTTTCTATCTGGAACACAGTGAGGTAGAGTACAATGGATATATGAGATATGAGCCAACCATCTCTCTAGTTTATGCTTTTAAGGGTCTTGAAGGAAATCTGGCCCCGCAAATAAATTTGCTAATAAGTTTTGTTGGAATGCAGCCTCCTATACCGCATTACATCTTCACAATATCTATGTTTATGCTGTAGCAACTATGTTGAACTGTTGCAATAGAAAGGATATAGCTATATGGCTTAAAATAGTTACCATTTGGCCCTGTATGAAAAGTTTGCTGGTCGCTGTTATGGAATTCAGAATGTCATGTCAATTAGTACAATATGAACCAGAGTCAACTGGTCATGAGTCAAAGTTCAGCAAGCTCTGTGTAAGAAATGAGGAAGGTCACCTTGTAAGATCAGTGAGCATCATGAACAGCCTCAAAGAGCCCACAAAGTCCAACCAGGAAAGGGCAAGTTTCAGATTCCACTTAGACCCTAGTACATGTCTTCTGGCCAGCTACAAATATCTCTTTTAAGTTAAAGAAATATTATCACGTACAAGAGTTTTAAAGCAATGCATGAAAAAAAATTTTGTTTCTCTTTCTTATCTTCATTCATACTGGTAAACAAGTAATAATAATTAAGCCAGAAAAAAACTCAAAACAGAAAAATGTAAGTCTAAAATCACATCATCTTCCTGTAGGCATGTTCTCACAGAATGGGAAAAAAATGTAAAAGGAAAATGTTCTAATTATCCTAGGTGGCCAAAAATGGTCACCTTTCTAAATGTGCCTAGAGCATAAACATATCAAGCCTATAAAGTGAAACAGCATTGTGTTCCACCCAGGAAACTTTAGCTGCAGAGTGTTCCACACCAAGCATCCTCCAACTTTTCCTGTGGCAATTTGCAATCACACCTCCACTCCTTAACCATTTACACTTTACAGACATGAAACACTGGAAAATATTCTAGCTCACTTTTCTTTCTACTTCTTTATTATATGGATTTATATATATGAATACTGGCCTTTGCTTTTGATACTTAAATATGCATTTGCCAATAATGCTGATTACTAACAAGGAAAGGAAAAAATACACACAGGAAACTAGTTTGTCATCACAATGTCAAAAGAAATGAATGACATAAATAACAGTGAGACATACACTACTGCACTTCACTCAAAACGTTCTTTTCCAAGGACACATTTCATGGCTAGTAATTACCTGACCAATACCCAAATTATGTTCAGCTTTACTTTTTAAGAAATATAATTTGTACTCATACTATGCATCAGATTTTTGCTCCTAAATTATCTTTATCTATCCTAATAGATCTATCCTAATAGATCTTTGCTCCTAAAATAATTTTGGATTAAACCAAGGCTTTGCAGAAAAGTCACAGGGGAACAGTAGAGAAAAACAGCACATTTCCAGAACTCACATTAGCTGCTTAAACATAAGAGATTTGACCCCCAAACTAATGTAATAATTCTTAAAGAATAGTACAAATAAATATTTTTAAATCAAAAAGTTGGGATAGCAAAAAATAATTCTAATTAAAAATGCCATTTATCCCCAAAGATTTCTCTGTACTATATAATACAAAAGGGAAAGAATTTTATTTGTAAATATTTCAAATGATATATCTGTTTTAAGATTATATTTAAGGGTTCTGATATTCTGAGCAACATATAAAAACTAAATCTGTTCAATTGAAGTTGAAATATAAAAATGTCATAGTAAAGCTATATTAGTAATATGTGTTCAAATATAAAATAGACATTAAAATGCTTTAAGTAAAACATGTTTCCTTGACTTATCATTTACTCACATTAAGAAAAAAAATACTGGATATTTTTTCCTTAATACTGGATACTGGATCAATAAAAGCAAAGACCTAAATTTTAAACAATGATGTTCTTTTCCCTAACTACAATAAGCACTGTATTCTCAAACAAAACACTGCTCTGGTATGAGCAAAATCCAAACAGTGTGGACTGAGTAATAATAACTCTGTGCTGTTTTGCTTTGCCGTGAAGTACGACACTGGAAAGTACATTGTATTATCAAGTTAGAAACCAATATTATGAATCTAGAGATGAACTCGTAACTTAAAGTTCTGCTATTCCGAACCTTCCTGCAGCACTGTACTTCATGTGCCCTATAGGCCTCGGACACGGTATTTGCCAATATGTGCTGGAAATCGCTTTAAAAACATTTAACTTGCGGAATGTGGGATGGGTACAGAAAGCTGGCAGATTTAGACATGAGGAAGCTTGAATGTATCAAAACGGCTACAGAGGAAATAAAGTGTATCAACGCATACCCTTGAGGAGAAAGTTTGTCCAGCCAGCCTGATTTATCTTTGGCTGCAGAAGATCCATAGAAGCAGGCATAGGGAGAGATGGCATTTGAGATGGTCGACGACTCAGTGTTCCCACTCGTGGAGCTTAAAGGGTAACTGTGCCTATTAAAAGGGTCCAAGTAGAAGGCTTTTTGAGTCCTAGACTTAGATGCCTTCGAATTTTTTCTTCTTAAGCTCTGGAAGCACTCTTCTACTGTTGAGTATTCTGACTCAGAAGCAGAGTCCTTTGGAAGATTATTTTTATCCTCTCGGGGTATCCAAATATCTTCCACTTTCTCTTCATTCACTTTTTCCTTGCTGTTATCATATATGCTAGACAGAAAACAAAAGGTAATCAAATTTAAAATGACGTGGTAAATTTAAGCTGTCAGTTAAATCTTTAAAATTTATAAACTAACCAACCACAGAAAGTTAAGGCAAAAAAAGACCTCAATGTTCAATTACTCAATCTGGTGATTTAAAAAACTCTTTTAGGGCTAGAGAGATGGCTCAGCCGTTAAAGGCTAGGCTCACAACCAAAAATATAAAAAACTCTTTTAGGGACTTGCCACCCAACTCTGAGGATCTGAGTTTAGACGCATTGAACCCCTATAAAAGTCAGAAATGACGATGTGTGTCTATAATCCCAGTGCCAGAGAGGCAGAGACAGGGCTTGTTGGCCAGCTGGATTAGCCAATCAGAGAGCACTAGGCTACAATGCAAGAGGGCAAACACTGCACCGCACTGCTAGTCAACAAACAAGTGAGGGGTCGTGTGCATCACAAGGTAAAAGCTGAGTCGGGTGTAATAGTTACTGGAATGCACTTTTAATTGCTCAGCATATTTCCATGGATTTCAGAAATGCAAAATAAGTTCAATAATTTATAGGAAATAAGTCTCATTATAAAGAAGTTTTTTGCTAATCGATGAGACAAACTATAGGTCATATACATCTTTCTGTTACAATGCTCTAAAACTGTTTTGTAAATAGTCGTGCAACCTAGCCCTGGCCCATTTTGTATCATAAAAGATTCTTATCACTTACTGAGGATGCATTATTTATTTTTAACTCAAGTAAATCCACAACAGTATTAGCTTTGGAAAATGAAGGTAGAAAGTAAAGTGAATATGAATAATAATCCAGCATACTAAGTCCAACTAAACCTCAGAGAAATATGAAATGTAAGTTTGGGTCTTCATTTTTATATATTACCAGAATAACTGAGTCATCTACTCTTCTCAACAGTGAATTTCTAATGCAAGGAACATAATACATTTGTACAGTTCTAAGCTCAATGTGGTTTTGCACTGTCTCTTTTTTCTTTGTACCAACATATAGCCCATCTTAGAGAACAATGACCTAATGGAGAATAAATTATTACATGCTTACAAGATTGTCCCATGTCTGCAATGCATATAATACGTATTTGGTAGTACTCAGATTACGGAAACTTTATAGTCAAATATGCATTTAATGTATATTTTTAAGCAAATTCATTGCAGTTAAAATACTTGGATATTTTATTTCAATCTGTATAAATAAAATATCCTATTTCAATATGTATAAATTTTTTTAACCTTACTATGTCTTTAAGATGCTTTGTTTAATGCCCAATCACAGCTAAAGAAACTAAGTTTAATAAATATCAAATCAATTTTCTATGGGGAAAAAAAGTGAATACAGTCACCAAATACCACATTAGGCAAGGATGAATGAATACAGTTAGTACAAGACAAAAATAACCCGCTATGGAATATCAACTCAGCTTCTAGAAATAAAGCAGCTACTCCATTTACACATGACAGGTCAGGTATTAAAATGAATACTGTCCAGAAAACATCCAGGAAAGAAAGGAAAGTTTCAAATTTAACCAAATAAACTACTTTCTTAGAACTACAACATTATACAATGAGCAAAACATCTACATCTTAAAGCCTTTTATTCTATAAAGAGACTCATCAGCACTCACAGGCATACCTGGACTTCGTTAAGATGGAGTTCCTTGTAGTGGCTGCTTCCTCTTTGACTGAGTCCTCATGGGCCCAAAACTCATTCTTTATAGATCTCTTCTGTTAAAAAATAAATACATTCATTGTTTTGCATGTTTGGTTTAGGTAATAATTTATGCTGTAACCCCACTTTACCAATACCTACAATATTTGACTTTTATATTAAACAAATTTAATTGCTTAGATCATTTTTCAGTTCAAAACAATTTAAAGGAAAACATCAAACTATTTCTGATGTCCTCTGTATTTAAATCAATTCATTATATTAACTAAGAATAATCAATGTTAACTAACAGTAGAACTTACATACTTTTACTCCCTGTATGATTTGTTTGGTTGTGGATTTTAGCTGCTCTCCATAATATAAAAAATCTGTTTTATATTATGGAGAGCAGCTATGGATCAGAATCAAGGCCTTGTACATGTCAGACAAGTGCATTGCCATTGAGCTATACTTCATTAGCTGTTTCTGATATGTACCTTTCTCCCATGTTTCTTTTTATCAAGTCTAAGAAATAAAATAGTAAATGAGGAGAAGTACTAGAAACAAAACTTGAGTTATTAACCTGAACAAAATGTACAAATGCAAACTTCCAGACTCAGGAAGACTGCCTCTTTGAATAAGGCCAAGGAAAGTCTGAGGAGGTTTATTGCTTTATCAGTGTTTAATCATTTTACTGTAGTAAGCTACATTGTGGGAAGTTCTTCAATGCACTATTCTAGACTGCTGAGGTCAAAGTGAAAATGTGTCTTCATGGCCCATAGATTTAGATCCATATCTAAAGGCATAGATTATCCTAACTGACCAAGCTGAAGTTTACTCATAGTAAAGCATCATTACAATAGTTTATAGGAGAACGAAAAAGCATGAATAAGCTACAGAACAAATAACTGCTCATGGAACATAAAATAAAATGAATGAGACTAACCTTGGAACTCTCTAGCCTCTGGAAGAGAAATGTCTCTCCATAAGGAAAGATGGAAGTTGGATTTTCCTCATTTGAATCTTTTGGAGGAATTACAGAATGACAATGGAAAAGATGAATAAGGTGGAATAGTGAAAAAAAATAAATATAAAAGCATTGTTTAATCATTTTATAGCAATATCATAACTTAAAGATTATTCTACAAGAGTCCAAAATGATATGCCCAATTCTTACCTCCCAAATCAACTCTTCTCATGGTCTTAATACATATCACTCACTTGACATGAGGTCACTAACTGACATCAGAATCAGTTACATATGGCCCTGCTAGCCTCCAAAATCCACATGAATATAACCAAGAACACTGCCTATGTGCAACAGAATGGCCACAGTGCCTTTTAAGCTAGTTAAAAAAGCCAAGCATATTTTTAAAAGATGGATCTAACACTCAATAAACAAATGTAAACAGTTCAATAATATAGTATCTATGGAGCACTTAAAACCTTAGACCTCATTTGCTGTAACCCCTCTCAGCTACAGCTACTAACACACCTATAGAGGAGTAATTTCAAGAATATGTCCTGTATCTTCAAACTGCATTGATCTACAGAAGAGAATCCTCAATACTTGCATTTCTTCTAGGGCAACTTTTTCCAAAAGGATCAGTAGCCAGTCATTTGCTAGCTTCTCTCTCTCTCTCTCTCTCTCTCTCTCTCTCTCTCTCTCTCTCTCTCTCTCTGTGTGTGTATATATATATAATACATATATATGCACACACATATATACACATGTATATATGTGTATATATGTGTGTGCATATATATGTATATATATTATATATAGATTATATATTTTATATATATATATATATATATATATATATATATATATATATATATATATATATATGATGTTCTGGAACTTGTATAAGCAGATTTTCAAATAGCAAATAGGAAGGTCCAATAAATGATCGATTCACCAAAGCAAGCGTGTCAAACTTTTCACTGTAGCAAAATATTTTTAGACATAATTATTCTGCAGCTCAGATCACCACAAAACTTTTAATTTTGCTAAATACCTTTGACTAATAATAAATGAAGAGTGTATTTAAAACATATTTTGATGTGAGCATGTGCAAATTTCCGGGAGTCTCAATGCTCAATTCTTTTGTGTTCACTTATCTTTAAGGTTGTAAAATAGTATGGAAGTGAGGACAGTCATCCCCATTATTCCCTGTTTGACAGGCAGGCTGCTGTCATGTACAACTCTAACTTTACTTTAAGATGATCACATGAGGCTAAATTAATTTATGGAGAGTTTAACACAGACACTCACTTTTCAGTGTCAAAGATTTTCCAGCTGAGGTAGTAGCACTTCTTCTGTCACGGAAATAGCTTAAAACAAAAGGAAAAGTTTTGTTATTATGCCACATTGAATTTAGGATATATTGAAGATACACAACCTTCTAAGACTTAGAATTTAAGTAGAAACATCAATACTCAAATGTAGAGCTGACTTGAATTATACATCCAGGACATATCCCACCCATATGATTTTTTTTAATTAAGAAAAAAAATTTTATTCATTTTATATACCAACGATTCCCCTCTTCCCTCCTCTCACCCCCCCCCAGCTTCCACCTCCCAACCTAACCCCAATTCCCTCCTACAAGAATGTAAGGCCTACCATGGGGAGGTACATTTAGTGGAGGCAGGTCCAATCCCCTCCCCCTGTCCCAAGGCTGTACAAGGTGTCCCATCATACAAGTGTGCTCCAAAAGGCCTGTTCATGCACCAAGGATGGACTGTGACCAATTTGTTTTGTATTTAGTATTCAAGGGAGAGACTTCATCAGACATTACAAGTCACTTAAATCCCTTCCCTGTAATACTCAAAATTTCTAAAAATGTATTTGTCCGTGTTCATATGCATTTGATTTCAAAATTGTTATCATGTGTCAAAAACAAACGAATGGAATAGATGTGAGTATTTATGTAGCTATATTGACATGACCTTTATTACATTTTATCAAAAATATATGTTCCAAGAACATATTTTGAAAATACTTCTTCTTCAAATGGCTCACAGTTTGCAAGTCAGTATGACATGAATACAATGAGAGAATAGCGTGAAAACAGCAATGACAAAGCAGACAGTGTACAAAAGATGTATGAAATATCTACTGCACTATGAAAGTTTGGTTGAAGCATCTAAAGGAAGGATCAAGGCATATTTAATTTCTCTTAGATAAACATTTGCCCAAGGAGTTAGAGGCCAAGAAATAACAAAAGAACAGAATCAATGAAAAAGAATATGGACAAAATTTAAAACTTGCTATTACAAAAATTGGCTTTTATAGGATCAATAAGATGGATACATTTCGCCGGGCGGTGGTGGCGCACACCTTTAATCCCAGCACTCGGGAGGCAGAGCCAGGCGGATCTCTGTGAGTTCGAGACCAGCCTGGACGACCAAGTGACTTCCAGGAAAGGCGCAAAGCTACACAGAGAAACCCTGTCTCGAAAAACCAAAAAAAAAAAAAAAAAGGATACATTTCAGTGAAAGAAAATATGGAGAGATAGAGGATAAAAATGAACAACATCAGAAGTGAAAACAGAAGTTCTTACTACAGAACCTAAGAACATAACAGAGAAAAGTTAGTAAGAAAAGGTTTATGCCCAAAGCATTAACGAACTGGACATTATCCATGTATTCAAATGATTACATCTGCAAAGGTTAAACAAAAACTTAATAGTTCTATTTCTTCCAAAAAAGCTAAACTTAGTAATGAATCATCCATTCACAAAAACTCCAGGCCCAAATATTTCAATAGTAAATTCCAACACACAATTAAAGAAATAATATCAATCCTGAAAAATATATTGGGAAGTAGATGACAAATTTTTGTTCCTCAACTTACCCTGCTAATCCAATGTTAATGATAACTAATTAATCAAAAACCTATACATAAATGTTGCCCAAGACATAAATGCAAAATATTAGTAAATCAAGTCAAACAATACATAAAAAGAATAATATAAGCAAGTAAAATTTACAACTAAGACATTAATGTTTATTTGACAGTGGAAAAAAATCTAATAAAAATACAATATATTGATATAACAAGACACAACCATTTGTAATAAAAAAAAAACCCTGTCAACACCTAGAAGCAAGCCTCTTTAACTAGAAAGGGATTTTATAAAAGAGATACTAAAAGAAGTAACTGAAAACTAAGTGTTTTCCTAGACAGAAGGGGATCTGCTCCAATCACTTATGTTCATAGTATTCCAGTGGTTTTAGCCTAAATAACAAAATGAGCAAAATAATATTAAATGCCTGAAGCCTGAGGATGTGAAAATGAAAAGAATCATCCTGTATATGTTTGGTTGGCTTGTTTGCTGTTGTTTTATTTTGTTTTACTTTGTTTTTAACTTTTATTCTTCTCTCATATATTACATCCTGACCACAATTTCTCCTCCCGTTCACTCCTCTCAGTCCTTCCTCCCACCTCTGTCTCCTCCATATCACTTCCTCCTCTGTTCCATTTTACACCTGTAAGAATGGATCAGATGAAAAACAAAAGCAACAGCTCATGCTAGCAAGGATGTGGAGCAAGGGGAGCACTCCTCCATTGCTGGTGGGAGTGAAAACTAGTCCAGCCACTATGGAAATTAGCTGGTGCTTTAAGGCAGGGTTTTATTACATAGCTCAGGTCAGTCTTGAGTTCACACTGTATCCCAGTCAGGTCTTGAACTAGTGACCCTGATGCTACCCTTTAGGCCTTTGGATAATAGGTAAGGGCCAGCACAGGTTCTTCTCAAACAATTCAATATAACAAAATCTCAGGAGAAAGAGTTAATATTAAGAACTCTGATAGTTCAACATATTAGCAATGAATAACTGGGAAAATAACTTTTAAAATTCAATTCTTCTTATAATAGTACATATCAACATGAAATAACACTAAATTAATTTTTGTAATGAATAAATCCTGGGCAATAAAACTGAACGATTACTGAGGAAAAAAAAGAATTCTTGAACATATATATCACATTTGTAAATTGGAAGACTCAATGTTATTAAAATTAAATTCTCCCCATAATGGTATATGCATGTGCGTGTGTGTGCATGTGTGTGTGTGAGTGTGTGTGTGTGTGTAAATTCTAAAAGAGAACCCCAAATAATACTCCAATGGGCTTTAAAATCCAGCAGGATTTAAAAATATATGTTAGTAAGATGACTTGAAAGTTTACATGTCAATACAAATGAGCTAGAATGGTCAACATAAATTTTCAAAGAATAGGATTAGAAGACACACTTCTGTAATTTCAATATTTAGTCTAAAACTACATTAATCAAATCAGCAAACCAACAATAAATACTAGACATACACCAAATGAATGAAATAGTCCAGATATAGTTCCACAATCTATGGTCCAATTATTTGTTTAAAATATATACAAATTCTTACCATGAGCTGGAAAGAAAAAAGGAAGTCATGAATTTTGCAGGTAAGCAGATGGAACTAGAAAACATCATACTGAACAAAGTAACCCAGACCCAGAAGGACAAACATTCCATGTTCTCTCTCTGAAGTTTCTAGCTCCAAATATCCAGATATGAGTAAGCAACCTTGAAGAACTACAGAAATCTAGAAAGTAAAAAGGGACCATTGTAGAGTTTGGAGGGGTGAAGGAGCAATAGAGAGGGGAATAGCAGAACACAAGAGATCTGAGGGGAAAAATAAGAAAAAAATGGGAGGGCTCTATATTGGGAGGGGGAGATAAATACAGAAGAAGGAGGGAAGAGGGTAAAATAACAGTAAAATGTCTGAAAAAGTCATAAGGAATCAAACTATTAACTACATACCTAAAAATATCGAACACACACACACACACACACACACACACACACACACACACACACACACACACACATACACATCAGTGTATAAATATACATATATAGTTTAAATGAAATTATCTGATCTGGACTGACAATGCTCCACCAAGAGCCATAGACTAACAAAAATGCCATCACCAGGCATGAGAAGTCCTCTTTTAAGTTTTTGGCCATGGTTGTCCAAGAGACTCCTAAAACTTTGTAGGCTATTCCTATTACCCTTGGTTGTCTTTCATAAGTGGAGTATAAGTCTCTATTGCTGAAGACACCACACACTTCAGATACAGGGCCCAAAGGATCTATGATAGATCTGACCTGAAAGCTTCTTCTCTAAGGATGAGCTTTCATGGTACCAGAAGGCATAGTTATGCAAGTTTTCAAAAGAAGGAAACAACCTACCCAGCTATGGCACCTATGAACCATAACAACGACCAGAGTCGCATGACCCTGAGGCTTCAATATGGGTATGCATACCTTGACATTAGCCATAACTCTCTAGTTGGTCTTAGAGACCCACTCAATAAGAAGGAAATCATGTCTCATACTGGAAACGTAAGCAACTACCCAGCGTAAGTGAGGTCATGTATCTGGAAGGGGAACCTACAATCTTCATTTTACTAAACGAGTACAGTCCCTAACAACATTCTAACTATGTGTCCTTATACCACAAATACAAGTGGTTCTCCCCTCTCATCAAGGAAACTACTCTCTGCAAGAGACATAGACCATTACTAACAACTACAACTGATCACAACACAGAGTGTGGAACTCAGTCCCAAATGTTACATCCATAAAACAATTCCGGCACATAAGGCTGAGGGATCATTGTGGAAGAGAGGATATAAATACTGTAAGAGCCAGAGGAACACCAAGTTCTCCATGGGATTGTGTCTCCTAGAAATGTCAGCAAAACTATACCCATGAAGTCTCTAGAGCATGGCCGCCTAAAGGTGACCTGAACAAGAGGACAGCAGTAAGCATGCTAATAACCCAAAACAAAGAACTATGGTCAACTAAACAATGCTGAGAGCGGAAGAAATAGTCTTAGCTGGGAAGAGAATACCAACTGGTTATCCAATACCACGTGGTCATTCCTGAAAACATGTACATACAGGTAAGATATGGACGGAGTAGGATGTTTTTTATATTTAGAGGGTTAACAGAATAATGGAATACATGTGATATGAAATTTAAAAGCGGGCCGGAGAGATGGCTCAGTGGCTAAAGCACTTTGCAGGGGTCCAGGGTTCAGTTTCCAGTACACAGTCAGTTGTGGTTCACAACTACCTCTACCCTAACTCCTGATATCCAACATTCTCTTCTGGTCTCTGAGGACGTGTGAACTCACAAGCACACACACACACACACACACACACACACACACACACACACACACGCACGCACGCACGCGCACACACACACAATACATAAGTAAAAATAAAATGTCTTTTTCAAAAATGAGTAGACCTGAAAACTAGAGATGAAGGTAA